TCATAAGCATGCTTACAACACTTATTACATCATCCGAAAAACTCGAAAAATGGATTGTTCGCTGATGACGACTCTTTGTAAGTATGAATATTTTGATTTTCAATATCAAACATAATTTTTAAAAAACACTCACCATTCTTCACAAATTTCTCAGTTTCTTTTTTAGATTTTATCAATCATTCACCTCAAAGAACAAAATCCAAATAAAAATTGAAACTATTTTTCTAAGTTTTTATATTTTTTAAACAATGAATATAAAATAGTAATCACAATAAATTTTGTACAAAATCAATAATTTAAAAATTCTGCAGTAAAATTCAAACAATTAAAGCAGCAAATTAATATTTTGCAATTGAGTTACAAGAAAACTAACCTTTTTATGTGACGCTTGTTTGGTAATTTTTCAATACTATCTTTACTCGCTCACATCATACACTATTTCCACCAAACACGCACAACTCGTCCATATAGAATTGTTTAATAAATGAGTTTCAAGTTTCAAATCTAACTGATAACAATTCTAAATTGTTTTCACACGTTTCAAACTTTGCTGTAACCTGGTTGGAAGGAATTATAACAGTACAATCAAATAAAACAACGCAGCTTACTAAAGCCACACTACCACGAAACCACAACACCAACAGCAAGAATTAGAAGGAAAGTTCCACGGTATCCAAACCGGATTAAATCCAGATTAAAACTGGATAAATTATTCTTTTGAAACTTTTTGGAAATGTCAAAGTTCTATCGGAAATGTCAAAAGAGAACCCAATACACAATCTATGTTTGAGAAAGGGTTATAAAGAAAACAAAAGGTTGACCGCAAAAAGACACTCTGCCCAAAGAGACCATAAAAAAAGTAACCCACACTGGCCTCACCCACCAAAACGACGTCGCTTGAAGTACATGCTCCCATCATGTGCTACGACCCCGCTCCTCTATTTTTTATAAGAAAGAATCCAGGGTGAGAAACTCTTAAAAATAACTGAACTAAATAAAAACGCTTGTGCCAAAACACCTAGTAGAACATTATAACTAAAATTGATCATAATAACAAGATTTGGATATATAAATGCAATGTAAAAGAATACTTAGAGCAAACGGAACGAGCAGCAAAGAAGATTAAAACTCGATTACCTTCCTGCACTGGAATGGCAAGTCTGTTGGTTTGTTGCCGTATTCACTGCCCTCGCAGGATCTAAAGTATGGACTCAACATCGCAGCAAAGGAAATCATTGAAACAGACCAATGCGCAACTCGATGTTGATACATTCCAATCCTAGTCACTTGGCACTTGAAACGGAAAAGCTCAAACTTCTCCGTTTCAAGTGAAAATGCACCTAGTCTCGCTCAAACTGCACCTAGTCTTGCACCTAGTCTCGCTCAAAACTTAATGAAATCGACATCTCATTGCATTGATCTAGAATCTTGACACGATCACTCACGACAACCACGATCAAACAAGACCCACTTCCGGAACCCGATCAACTGTTCTTCTCTCTACACAAACAACTACATCTCTCTTTTCACGAAGTCTCTAATCCAACCTCTTAAAGAAACCTACTCCATCCGTCCTCCACTACAATAATCAATTTAGAAACTGAAAACTCTCCAAACCCCAGATGAGTGGAACCAGTTTTAAACTACTATTTACATCCATTTATTTTACTGATAAAACTATCCCTATAAAATTTTACTAACTGACCAATCATATTACACCACTAATACTTACAATAATTTGTAGTGCTAAAACTACTTGTAGTTTCAGCATCCAAACAGTTTGAATAAATCTTAGAAGATAGTTGTTCTCCTTTGGTTCAAGTTCTATAAAACCTAACCCGATGTTGATAACCCGACTACTTGTAGTTTCAGCATCCGAAAAATTTGAATAAATCTTAGAAGACAGTTGTTCTCCTTTGGACCAATTTCTATAAAACCTAACCCGATGTTGATAACCCGACTACTTGTAGTTTCAGAACCAGAACAATTTGAACAAATCTTAGAAGACAGTTGTTCTCCTTTGGACCAATTTCTATAAAACCCTACCCGATGTGGATAAGTTCAATAATTCTAACCTAACCATAAACCTAGCAAACACCAGTATACACTAGATCTAAGAGTAAGGAGATATCAGAGTAAGATTAAGATTGGTATTAGACTAAGAAGTTGCACGAATCTATCCCACCGAAAACACGATAGCGTGACAAACATACGGTGTACCTTGTCTGAAACTACTCTGAAAAAGCTACCTCTGGCTTAAACTCAAAATAACTCATTTGAGATCAGGATTTCCATAATAATCGGTAACAGTTTCCCCATAATTCTACATTTTTTCAGAAATTTTTTTTATTAGGCGACTGCAGAATATCGGCATTAGATCTGAACATTTAGGTGAATAACTCAACATATCATAACTTATGGCAAAAAATAGAGGCTGATCATATACAAATATTGACTCTTATGCACTAAACGGCTCAAAATTAGTATTTCGTCGGCTTTCTTGAACCGATTCGCAATTCTTACACTCAAGTTCAACTAACATTGCTTGCATTTTGATTGATTTTTCAAGCAGATAAACCTGTTGGCCAATATCTGCTGAAGGCATTTAAAAAAAATCTCGTTTGAGAAAAACTTACTATGTCACTTAAAAACAATTTTTTATAAGACAAAGTTTAACATTTTGGTATTTTTGGTTTGGCTAATAATTTTTATCTGCTGGATGTTTTGGTTGAACTTGATTTGCGAATATTAACTAATCAGATTCGACTGCATGCGTTTTAGCTCAAGATATAAAGTTTTTAATTTTGGCCCGTTTGTGCATAAGACCCCAAAAATTATGAACTACAGGCAACAAAAAATGTTAAACAAAAACTGAAAGTAGACTTAATTCTGTTCAAGTTTTAGTTTCTGAAGCTAAAGGGTTTTCTTTTTTCTATGAGAACTTTTTGCTAAAACAAAAAAAAAGTAAAAATTTTATAATTTTAGATGAAATTACATCATTTTAAAATGTGCCTATAGGTAAGACGCCCTAACACAATTGCAAGTGTTTCTCACAATTTGACACGTTTTGAATAATTCAGTGTAGATGGTGCAAACCTGCATTGTCAGACCCGGTAAAACCTGATAAACTTTTTAAATCAAATTTTGATAAAAGTTTTAGATGGCAGCTTTGATTATTTATTTTTAGTCCTGGTGAAAAAAAAATCAAGTTCTACATGAAACCTGTCTAAAATCACCCTTGAAACAGGCATTTTAGAGAGAAAAACCTGAATTTGCGCATAATTTTGATCACTGGTCTAGTATTTTCATCGTTATTTTAATGGCATATATCCTTAAGCATTGTTTTCAAACCGAAGTGCATCAATCTCTGATACCTTTCAATAATCTTTCAAAATATTGACTAAATATTGAAGAAAAATTTGCCCCCTACATTTGAATTATAGTTTTGAAAAACTAATTTTACGTCGTCATAGTTTAATGATTTTGGCATGGTGATCACACTAACACTTGTGATTACATTTGCCACTTTGTTCTTGATATTTTATCGAATCATCACGCATTCAGCCATAATAACTAACGTAAAACCACTGAGAAAATTAATTTATTGAAACTGGAGAGAGTGAAAAAGAGCGAAACTTGGCTGTTTCGGCAAACTTTTGCCAAAGAACATTGAAAGATATCAAAAAAGTAGTAGGTTTTAGAAAGGTTTTCGTTAAAAAAATTGTAAAACAGAGTCATCAATCAATGAAACTATATTCGGAGCTAAAATCATCATACTAAAACTAAAAGCAAAAAGCTTCAAAATTTTCTAATGGCTAAGAGTCCAAAACAGTTTTAGGCAAACAAGTAAGTTTGGTTTGAAGAAATTTATCTCTTTATACTATAAAGTTGATGCCCGTAAGAGGTGGGGTGGTTCTAGGAAAAAGAACCCAACCATTAGTGTCCATTTTATGGTGTAACGAGGGTTCTTACAAGGTTATAGATATGTGGACTAGATGTGTTTGCCATGATCGAATTGGTCACATTTCCAATTTTTGTAGCAATCGGACAATATGAACAGAAAACTACGCATACAAGGTCGCAGTTGGGTGGGGGGAGACAAAAGAACCTCATTTTTATACCTCGTAATGTCAAGGAAAGTTACGTCGGAATGGGGAAAGTTTGGAAAATTTAGGTGGCAGAGTCACTGTAGAGGTGGGTGACTTCACTCAATCGCGACCGAGGCTGCAGAGAATCAGTGCTGAATATAAAATCCACTCGGACTATGTCCACGACCCGGATGGAGAGAATTACTTTGTGTTTCCAAATTCAAAATACATTGAAATGTGGATTTATGTCAAGCTAAAAAATTTTGCTGAAATTGAAAACCTTCAAAAAATACTTCAAAATTACGCCAACAGTTTAAACAGATTATATGCATGTTGTAAATCAACTTGCAAATAATTTTCCTGATGGCAACTAAAAGTTTTCAGTCCAGATTTGTGAAAAAGCAACCTGAAATGCCTTCTTCAAGGCAGGGGTGGATCTAGGATTTTCTGGAGGGGGCGGGGCGATTTCCAAAAAAATTCAAAACTTTGTCGAACTTTTTTTAAGTTGACCAAAGTGATTTTCTGAGCTCTCCCAAATCACCTTAAAGACCAAATTTTTGACAAAAAAAAGGTTTTTTTTTGGCACGCGCTCCCCTCTTAAAAACTTTTAGGGTCAGTCAACCAAAAATGGTTATCTCAAAATACCAAGTAGACAGGGGAGTGTTCACCCCCGCCCCCTCCCTAAATCCGCTGGTGCTTTAAGATGTAAAACATAGATCTAGTTCTATCTAGCTCGATCAATATATAACCAAATTCCGGCCGAGAAATCTAAACACAAAATAATCACCACAATCTACAACAGACCCAAGGAACGACATAGCGCTGCTCTATTTATCCGAGAGAGTTTCCAGCAGCCGAAAAATAAAACTTTGCTCTCATGACTATAATGACTACACAATTGCAGTCTGTGGAATGGGGAGCATTTCAGGTACGGAAACTTATTTTCCGCAAGTCCTTCAGGAAGTTCAACTGAAGGAGAGATCCTCATGTCCCGCTCGGACCTCTAGCAAGCAAATCTGTCTAAAGGGCAGTTATAAGGACAGTTGTGGGGGTGACTCGGGGGGACCTGCGTACCCTCTGACCAGCAGTGGACCCAGATGTCTCTACGGAGTCGTGAGCTACGGAAGTAAAAAGTGCACTGGATGGGGAGTCTACTCACGAGTGTCTGCATACGCCGACTGGATTGAACGGAACGCATAAGTTCTCAGATCAACCAAAGCACCTAAGAGCAATCCCAGAATTGTATGACGTGTCAACTTCCTTTGCTAACTAAGAAAAACAAAGTATTATTAAAGCTTAGAAGTTTGGAATTATTTGAGATAACGCTTAATTATCATGATACTAGCATGTTATTGAGGTAAGAACTGACAGATGTCGTTTTCAGGCCAATGTTGAGGTCTTTTCATCAAAGCATCCCCAGAGTAAATTACAGACTCCCCAAAATACAAAGTATAGATTTGTTAAGGCTTGTCTGGTGGGCTCGAATGAGAGAGAAGCATAAATTGTCCGGTCTTTTTTTTTCAGAAGAAACTCGATCTCCGCAGATTTCTTTTTGAACCAATGTGCTTCAATCAGGTTCATGCTTTTCTTATCCATTTTTAGAACTTTTTGCTCTAAAAAAAACTTTCAAAAATTCAGCTCTAGAAAAAACTCGAGGACTTCCCGGTCGCGTTTTTGGCTCTTTTCCAGTTTCCCACCTCCTTCGAAAAAATCCAAAAAAACTGTTCAAAAATCGTTCACACGACGTTTAGCATGTTAAAATGCTGTACAAATTTATTCACCTGTTCATGCTGACACGTTATAACAAAAAAAAACATTAAAAAAAACTTTCATGTATTGAGTTTCAGAAAATATCAAAGGGGGGAACTGGAAAAGAGCCGCGTTTTCTCTCTGGGACCAGTTTAACACTCGTATTTAGTTTTATCAAAAATATACCCCTTCTCTCCAGGAAGACAACTACTCCACAACACGAGCAATTGTTTCTTTCTCATTCCCGCAGCCACTGCTTCAAAAGAATCTACTCCAAGAATCTAGAAAACTCTCCATCCATCCTTAACTATAAAACACATCCAACTTAAAACTCTCTAAACCCCGGGTGGGTGGAACCAGTTTAAAACTAGTATTTATAATCAATTTTATTTTTGATTTAACTATCTCTGTAAAGTATTTTTAACTAACTTATCATGATCCCTAACTAACACTTAAAATAATTTGTAAAGCTGAAAGTATTTCTAGTTTCAGCGACAGAACGAAATAACTTAGCAAGCAGTTGTTCTTCAGAACAGTTCCTGATAACTTATCTCGCAAATACCAGTATACACTAGATCTATTGAGACTACGAGATATAAGAGTAAGATTAAGATTGGTATAAATCTAAGAGTTTGCACGAATCTATCAGGCCGAAATAAGATAGCGTGACGAACAGACGGTGTACCTTATTTGAAATTACTCTATGAGTGAGGAGCAACCACGGACATAAACTCACTTCTCCTCAAGCCATCTGCAAGGTTTTATGAAAAAAATTTTCGTTTGCAATGTTCGTTTATTACAAAAATTGCCAAGCGGGGGAGGAACAGAATTGGAGGGTCGAAATAATGCTATATTCTGGTCGCGACATACCAATAATCTTGGCAGCAAGAGGATCCTCGCCCAGAGTTTTTGAATTAAGTTCAACTTATGGAGAGATCCTCATGTCCACTTCGATTCGAAAAACTGGCAAGCAAATCAGTCTTTATGGAAATAAGTATACTTGTTCAAAAATCCTCTCAAATGTTTTTTTGAGATGGGATATTGCACGGCTCATCAAATTTTTGGAAGTAATTTTCCAGTACAAAATATCCAAGACAGATTTTATAGCACATCTAAATTTAGCATAAAAAGTCAAAGTATAGCTATTCTAGCAGACCAATAGAATAACTACTGAAGCATATTTGATTTGACAAGGCGTGATAAACATGCCTCGGTGGTTGAGCTTCCCAATTAACGACAAGTATCTATCGGTTAGTCAAGGAAATAGATAAATCAAATTAGTCTAAGTGAGCGGTACAGACTGATTCATGCAAACGAAACTTGTTCAGACGAACGCAAGCTCAGAATAGCGAAGGGGTTGTTCCTTGACAATGTCACAAACGTTATCACTTTTAAATGATTTGAGTATGCAAAAATTTTCTCTGGTAAAAGAGCTAGCATTCCAAGATATCTGTTGATGATTTTCTAAACTTTTATGTTTACGTCTCGAATTTCATAAGCCCCATGAGACACGAAATTTCAAAAAATGTCATAAACGCATAGTTAAACAGCCGGAAATGACGTAATAAAATCCTCCCAGGCGTAAGTATTGAAAACCTTTCTAATGGTAAGTTGTCAAAAAACGTAAAGCTCTCAGATCAAAAGTGGAATTACATCTCATATTTAAAGTAATTTAAAGAATTTTTACTAATTAGTTCCTGTAAATTAATTGCTCCAGTAAAATCACTACCCAAGATTTGCTTGAAATAATTCCTCTAGAACCTTATTCACAAATTTGTGTTCCTGAGAAAAAAGATAACTATTCCAATTTCTGCTAAGACCATAAGCAAGCCTGCTTATTTTTTTAAGTTTGTTTTTGCTCCATTTCCTTATTTCTTAAAAAGTCAAGCGTCATTTTGGACCCAAACAATGTGTGTCTAAGTTTTTTTATGAGTCATCTCAAAGATGTGGGTTGGAGCTGATTGATAAGTTTTTAGTATCCGCGCAGGATAGCGATTAGTGAATGGTTTACGTATTGAGGACTTGGGAATCATACCCAAATGGTGACTGAGTCTTCACAGTGATGGCATAGAAAAACATCGTAGCAATTGAGAAGGAGAATATGAGGGTCATATTTTTGTGAACATTTCGATAAGCCTCCAGACAGCCACAAATGACAACTCGGTCATAAATCAGGGGTGCAATTTTAGGACCTGTCACATATTGTAGTTTAAACGTGATTTCCGAGAAACAGAAACATTGTGATAACGTTCTAATGCTTATTCAGCGGAGTTGGAACAGCTCGGGCCCCATTTTCAGGAGCAGCAACCGGTCCGTACCGGGCCTGAGCCTGACTTTCAAAAGAGTTCACGCCTTTCACCGTTAAAGATACAAACGCCTAGAGGGAGCGCAACTTCAGCAGCACTGGACAGTACCAGACTTTCAAGCGTGCCCTCATTTTTGCAGATGTCAGCCAAACTAAACGAATTCAAATGTCAGCCAAACGAGCAGTCCAATTTGGCTGAAAATTGCTGCAGGAATAAGGGCACGCTTGAATATCTGGATTTGCCCGGCTCTGCTGAAGTCGCGCTCCCTCTGGGCGTTTGTAGGATCGACTGCGGCCAATGGACCTATTATATGCCCAGCTCTTCTGAATTTGCTGTCTGTATTTGCACAGCTCTGCTAAATTTTCCCTCCCTCTGGGCGTTTGTAGGATCGGCCGCAGCCAATGGAGTCATTAAATTTTGATTTTTTGAAAATTCACATGACTTTTTTTGGGAAATTCGAATTTTCATTGAAGAGAATATGATTGACAAGTTTTTAGTATCCGCGCACAATAGCGATTAGTGAATGCCGAATGCCAAATTTCATAATAATCTGACAATTTGAACTGGAAAATTTCTCTATTAATTTTCCAGGTGGGGGGGGGGGGGGAAGGAAAAAGAGCCGAAAAGGGTCAGAAAAAGTTACATTTTGATCTCGAAAATGTGCAATTAAATCATAGAAAATCATCAATGTAAATCAGCTTTTGAGCAAAAACTTATGAAACGAAACAGGAAAAGGGTCAAAATAGATCAGTTTTTGAACTCAAAATATGCAAGGAAATTATAGAATTTTATAAAAAATTTGGTCTTTTTTATGCTACAATACGCTATGGATGTAAAATGAAAAAAAGATAGGCCAAGAATAATTGCAATAAAAATTCGAAATTGATCAAACTTGAATGAAAAAAAAATTCGATTTAAATCGATTTAAATCAATTTAAATCCTTTTTAATCCCCTTCAAAGTAAAAACAAATTAAGACTGGTTAAAATGGATTTAAAGTGAATTTTTTTTGTAGCTGGGATTTAGGATCAATTTAAATTGATTCTAAATCAATTCAAATCAATCCTTATCTTTTCAATTTATTCTACGTGATTTTTTCATATTAAAATCGATCTAAATTTAACCAACTTACTTTTTTCATACTAATCCATCAACTTTTGATCATAATCCATTTTTGTCAGTGCGGGTAGACCAATCATTACTGTAGTGCAGCAAAGAATTCTCAAGCGAAATAAACATCAAACTCTCACATCACAACGCCTTTACTTTAGACTAATGAAACTTTAAGAAAAGATGTTTGACTATTTTTGGTGCATAAACATGCCAAAGTTTACAAAAAAATAGTTTGACAAAATTTTTCGTATGAAACCAAAACGCAACCGAATTTACGGCGCCATGAGTTGCCTCACGCTATTAATGGGCACAACTGTATGTAAGTGTTCTCCGTTTTCTAACAAAAAATCCTGAAAAAAAATAAAAATAAACGTTCAGCCACTTTCGCAGTGTTTAAGAAAAAGTAGTCCAAAGTTCAGAAGTTACAGCTACAAGATCGAGGTTGTAGCGAACAAAAAAGTTCGCTGCAAGTAGCTTGATTTAATAAACTCTTCAAGAAAAGATTAGCCAAACGTGGAAATATTCAGATCAAATTATTGTCTGTTAGGAGACCATGTCAATCAACAGCGTCGTCAAAAAAGGCATTTTTGTTTTTAAGAAGAGCGGCTACAAAGATTTTAAAAAGGGCTTAGATGATACAGTTTTTCAAAATTAATTATAACAGCTGAAATCAGTTTATGCTTCAACAAACCTTCAGAACACATAACACAATGATTTTTTTGGATGAAAAGCAAATTATAACGCAATTGGATGAAAACCTAATTATATTGGGAGAAAACTGATTGCTAGTCTCTTAATTGTGATATTTTGGGCACTGAACAAAGAGAATATTTATTAAAAGTGAAAAACACTACCTACTAGACTTTCTGGAATACCAATAAGAACAAACAATGAAACTGGTTGTGATAAGAATTTTTCTTAAATCTAAAGCAATTCAGTATTCGGGGATTTGAAAAGCAAAAAATTATGTTATTATCACAATTTATTTTCCAAAAAAATTGTTGCTTCTCAGTTGAGCAAAATTAAACGAATT